TTCCACCTGTCCACGATTAGAAGCTGAATGCCACCACCCGTTCAACATCGTGTGAATTCATCGATATAACTTTGAGCCTTGTCATGACCAGAGCTTCAAATGTGTGGTGAAGTGATTAGGAGGGGTGTCTTGAATGGAATCTGCGTCGACAAAGAAACTCACAAGAATAATAGTCCCTGACATTCGTCAGATGGTTTCGACCACTGTTGTGAGCCTTGCGAACGGAAGGACTAGAGAAATTTCCCTGATTCAATTTAGCTTCATTTGTTTCGTCAATTTGAGATAGACCCAAGGAATCCAGCAACGAACCTTTCACTGACGAGGAAGACATCTGGAGGAGAAGAAGCCCCGGATTAGTAACGTTCTTCAAACCCAGTGTTCAATGATTGGCAACCCACCACAGTAGTCACAATAGTACTTCCCCATGCCGACAAACCAATGGACCGAGAAATTTGCCTGTGGATCTGCTGCCTTGGAATGTCGAATACGAGTTGAGTGATTCAGCAACTCGAATGCGGTTTGATTGAGCTGAAGGTTTGTGTATGCGTTTCCCAGTTGGAGAGGAGGGGACCCTGAGGGGCGCACAGCCTGGACAAAACCCAAGACAAAACTGAGAGTCACCGCGTGCGACTTACGAGTGCGCCCCGCGCACCACCATACAAACACTGTGTAGCACGATTTCGGTCGACTGTGTACAGAGACTACCCGGAGACCCCCGTCTAGTCGGGTGGTGTTGCCTGCTCCAGAAGAGTAGTACACTACTGGAACCTGTGGTCTGCTTATCATAGAATGATACGATAGTCGATTACTCCCGAGACATACGACTACAAGCCGATCGCAATGGCAAACGAAGACTCAGGGCCTTCACGCTCGCATACCCACCGTGGACGCAGCCGAAGTCCTGGTAACGAAAGGAGAAGTCGACCACGAGACAGACGGAGCTCAAGCGGAGGTGAACGTGATAGAGTCCGAAGGAGCCGCAGCCGAGATCGAAGACCGAGCGAAAGGCATGCTGACAGGGATCGCAGAAGGAGCTCTCGTGATCGGGACACTGTCTACAACGACAAACGCGATCAACGTGATCGATACACCGGAAGGCACGGCTCGCCCTCCCAATCTCCACCTAGACGTCGACATCGATCCACAAGCTCCTCCTCCTCCTCATCATCATCATCATCCGCTTATTCAGGAAAAGAACGATCTAGAGAGAAGAAACATTCCAAGAAGTCAAAAAGCAAACGGGATTCATCGATATCGAGTGACGATCAGCACGAGTCCCGCAAACATTCTAGCAAGTCTAAAAGCAAGCGATCTCATAAGAGCCGGCACAGGAGTCCAGGTGAAGACAGCTCAGATGAACATGCTCGT